CCCCAAAACCCCAAAACCCCTTTTTATTGGAATTCATTGATATAAGAGGAAAATTAATTAATGCAAGTGATAATAAAGATAAATAGTAATGGAAGAAGATAAAAGTAAACAAAACTAGAAAAAGGAAACTAAACCTAAGGAAAAACCAGATAAAGATGTTGGCAAGCTTGTTGAATCAGGGAAAACTCTTACTGCTGAAGAAAGTATTTTATATCTATTGTTTAAATTATCGTGATAATAGAGCAAGCTCTTAGAAAGTAGAAAAAAGAAGAGTAAAAACTGGCTAAGCTTGCTAAGGTCTCTTAAAAGTAGGAAAATGCTCCAGAGGAAGAACAAAAAGAAGATAAAAAAGAAAAGAAGTAGAAGCAGCAATAAAAGAAAGAAGAGAAAAAGGCACCACATATCAGTGTGATTGACTCACAGAAGTAGAATCTGACAAATATCTAGCATGCTTTGGCAGCCCCCAAGGTTGAAAGAGAAGATATTAAAGAAGGGGATGGGGAGCTCCAATCTTAAAACAGTTTAAAGACTCCTAGTACTCATTCAAAGCGTTCTAGAGGACCATCATTCTATCAATAAAATCTTCCAGGCAGTGAAGCTAAGGAAGAACTTTAGAAAGTAGGCTCAATCAAGGAAATCGCATTGTTCAGCAGACTCGCTAATTTCAAGGAGCTGTCTGGACTGAAAGAGAAGTATCATTACCTTCACCCAAAGATATTAGATCTTGGCTTGAGGATTATAAATGAGTAATATACCAGTTCAAATACAAGATGCATTGCTATGATTCAAGCTTTGAAGCACTTTATAAGCGATTTTACTGTTCCTGAAAATAAGTCGCTAAATCGTGAACTCGAGGAGGAACTTAATAAGATCATTTAGTTCTGGCAAGAGTGCAGACCATTCTCAACTGGTCTTGAAAACGCAATGAGGCTGATTAAGGAATTCGTCTCTTAACTCAATACCAAGTTGACTCCTACCAAGCAGAAATCAATGATTAACTATAAATTGAACTACATCATCCAAGATAAGATCATTGAGGCTGACCAATCCATAATTAAAAAGGCAATGGAACTGTTTTCAGACCAAGAGGAAGAATTGATTTTAATCCTTGGAGGTGTCCAATTACTGTAAATGATCTTCTAAGAAGCTAAGGAAAATAATAAGCGATTTAAGGTAGTGGTGGCTGATACAAGTCCTGACTTTGAAGGTAGAGAAATGGTGAAGAGATTGAGTAACCTTGGCATCAAATGCATCTATACCATGATCTCAGGAGTTAACTTCTTAATTCACAAAGTCACTAAGGTATTCATTGGAGCTTCATCAGTTTTATCTAATGGGGCTGTTGTCGCCAAGATAGGAACATCAATCATCACCTGTATGGCTGCTAGACATTAGAAACCAGTTGTGGTATTTTCAGAGACTTACAAGTTCAGTGATAAAGTAAATCTAGATGCCATCAATAACAATGAAATTGGAGATCCTCAAAAGCTAGCAAACAATCAAAAAGCATGCTAACATGGACAAGGAACTCAAAGAAGTGCCCTTGGTGACTGGTAAAAGAGTAAAAGCTTAGTGCTGCTAAACTTAAAATATGACTTAACTCCATGCTAGAATATAAATATGGTAAGTCATACTTATAATTTATTTTATGATTGCACTAGATCATCTGTGAATTCGGAAGGATACCAGCAATATCAGTTCCAGTTGTTATTAGAGAGTCACAGAGGGAAAATGAGGAAAATCAAGAGAACATTCTTGATGAGCTAGATTCTTGAATATTTCATTAATTAACTTTATGAGATATATTGTTCATCTATCATTAGCCTATTTTAAGTTTAGGGGTTTTGGGGTTTTGGGGTTTTGGGG